CACGACAACATTTACAATCCGAGTAACCGTGACGTTTCGCCGGTGATCACAGCAACAGCAACAACACCCGGCGGCATCATCAGGCAGGGACAGCGACAGAGTTGTGGAGAAATCCTCCTCCGGTTTCGGTCTTCGATAGACGGACAGACAGGGGGGGGGTTAAATGATGATGTACACGCAGGTACGACATCGCACCGGGAAAGGGTTTACAGCAGCAGCGTCAAACCTAACGCGCGTGTCAGCAGCAGCGGCAGCGGCAACAACGCCGCGCTTGCACGCACGGCCTCGAAAGAAAACGGATATCTTTAAAGCGGGGGTGACGTTTCGGGCGATGGACCTCCATCAGCGCACGCACCGTTCAGGCAGCAGGGCCGTCGGTCCCGAAGTGTCACCCGTTCTCTATTTATTTCGTTTCTTCCCCCATTCAAGGCCACGCAGTGCGATTGACGGATTGTGTGAGTTTACATTTTTATTTTTGTTACATTTATTTAGAGCCGTCGTTCTTGAGCCGAACAGAGGGGGAAATATTCTCTCGTTGCGAGTTATGTTTTTTGTTTGCATTATGACTGCAGGTATTGTGATCTATGCAAACATGACTCCTTGTAAAAAAAAGGTGTCAGTTTTGTTGCCAGATAGAAGGGTAAAAAAACAATTATCATATTTTTTACTGGCAAATGAGGTTCCAATGGTGTAAATGCTTACCCCGAGCTCTCATACTCTGATGGTGCATTGTCTTTCAGTTGTGCGCCTTTTGGCGTCATTTGGTCCAACACCATGTGAGACTAGGCTCTAAGGAAAGCTGTCTCGGGTGTGGACCAATCAACATCAAGGACAGTGCATACATTATCAGAGTTGTGTTTTTTGTTTGCATTATGACTGCAGGTATTGTGGTCTATGCAAACATGACTCTTTGTAAAAAAGGTGTCAGTTTTGTTGCCAGATAGAAGGGTAAAAAATCAATTATCATATTTTTTACTGGCAAATGAGGTTCCAATGGTGGGTGGGTGTTGTTGTTGTTGTGGCCTGCAGTGTGGTGGTGGTTGAACACCGTGTGGGTGCGTGAGTCGGTGAGTGGGTGGGTGAATGGGCGAGTGAGAGAGTGAGTGTGTGAGTGTGTTGTTGTGGCCCCCATTGTGGTGGTGGTGGTTGAACACAGTGTGGGCGAGTGGGGTGTAGGTGGTGATGGTGGAGGTGGTGTAAGTGGTGATGGTGGAGGTGGTGTAGGTGGTGATGGTGGAGGTGGAGGTGGTGGAGGTGGTGGAGGTGGTGGAGGTGGTGTAGGTGGTGTAGGTGGTGATGGTGGAGGTGGTGTAGGTGGTGTAGGTGGTGATGGTGGTGTAGTGGTTGAACACAGTGTGGGTGAGCGAGTGCAGTGGTTGACCAAGTCGTCCTCACCACCACCTTTCGTGCATTTGTTACTGGAGCTGCCACTCTTGCGGCGCAGGGCGATCCGCCCCCCATGGGAGAAGGCGCTGCTACGACCCCGACAGACACGTGGTGCAGTCGTTTGGCAGCAGAGGGCGGGTGGCGATGTTGCTGAGCGTAATCCCAGTCGACTAATTTGGCGAATTTGGCGAAATATTATTTTTACGCCCGGTGACTCTGGCACAGGATGGAGGCCTACTCTAGTCCCGATGTCGCTATGGGAGCTGTGAAGCAGGTGGTGCGTGTGTGTGTGTCAGTGTGTTCGCTCGTCTCTCACAACAACGAGCGGAGCGCCGGGTGGCTAAAGCACAGCAAGTTGGCACAGTAGGGGGCACAGGTGGTGCATCAGCCAGTCATCTCGGTCATCTCGGTCAGTCGACCCGTGGCACCTGCTGGGTCTGCCCCGTGACCTCCTGCCAGCGGGCGTTCGACACTTCACGTGGCAGCCTCAAGGTGCACATGGCCTGGCACAAGCGTCGTGGTGACATCACCGCCACTTAGTGGCGAATGGTGATTGTTGTTGTTGTTTGTGTGTGGTGAGCGGTAGTGTAGCCGTTAGCGCTACGCTGCGCTACGAACCCGGCGGCCCGAGTTCGATTCCCGCTCACGGCCAACCCCGGTGTGATGATTATCTGAACCGGTCCTGTGCCTCCCCCTGGTTCGACTTGGCCTCAAATGAGTACCTGGTGCGATACGTGAATATCGCCACTAGAGAGACAAAGGCGGCCGGGCGTGGTGCTGGCCACCCACCTCGTTGTGTGCCGTGCCGGCCTTCCCTCTCTCCCTCCCTCCCTTTCTCCCTGCCTCTCCTCCCTCCCTCTCCTCCCTCCCTCTCCTCCCTCTCCTCTCCTCCCTCCCTCTCCTCCCTCCCTCTCCTCCCTCCCTCTCCTCCCTCCTCCCTCTCCTCCCTCCCTCTCCTCCCTCCCTCTCCTCCCTCCCTCTCCTCCCTCCCTCTCCTCCCTCTCCTCTCCTCCCTCTCCTCTCCTCCCTCCCTCTCCTCCCTCCCTCTCCTCCCTCCCTCTCCTCCTCCCTCCTCTCCTCCCTCTCCTCTCCTCCCTCCCTCCCTCTCCTCCCTCCCTCTCCTCCCTCCCTCTCCTCCCTCCCTCTCCCTCCCTCTCCTCCCTCTCCTCCCCTCCCTCTCCTCCCTCCCTCCCCTCCCTCTCCTCCCTCCCTCTCTTCCCTCTCCTCCCTCCCTCCGCTCACCTGCTCCCTGCAGGAAGCGGCGGCGGCGGCGTTGACTAATGGGCTGTGTGCTTTAGACGGCTGCGCTAGGGGGGGTGGGTGTCCCATTAAGCGTGACGTCCGCGAGAATAAATGCGCGTAATTAATTCGGAGAGAGACGGCCGCTCGTGCGCGCGGCGAGGCCGTAATTGGCAGCGGGGATGGATTTCCCGGGCGGCGACTTTTCGAAGGCTCGCCTCGGAGACTCCGCGGATGCATTGGGTGGGCGGGGGGAAAAATATAAAAAACAACGGCGCCTCTTGCATCTTTCACGCGCGCCCAGCGTGTTCTTAAAAACTCTATTGGGTTTATGAAAATAAAAAAATATGTACTCTTAGGCTTTTTTCGGTAAAGTCACGTAGGTAAAAAATAAAAATGAAATTAATAGAAGTAATAATAGAAACAAGTGAGTAAATTTAGCTGTGACGGTCCCACCTGATGACAGAGGCTTGTGTTGCCTCCGAAACGTCGTGATTTATTATTTTATTTCTACTATTACTTCTATTAATAAAAAATTTTACCGACGTGACTTTACCGAAAAAGCCCAAGAGTATGAATCCTTGCAGTCACGAAAGCTTCAAATCTAGAAAAAAATATGTATATAGCTTACGTGTGTCTACTGGGTGGTGGGTGGTGGGTGGGGAGTGGGAAAGAGAGAAATGCATGGATCGGAGACACAGCGAGGGCAGGTTCACGGCAAGGGTCGCTGGATCGTTTCAAATCGATGGCTTGGCCCGGCTGTACCGGCTGACCGTGGCGTTGGTTGGGCTACGCACGCGGCCACCTGCAATCCGGCGCTGGCGGCGGCGGGGGGGAGGGGTTGGTGGATTGCACGCAGATGTTGCTGTGAAGCTCCCGTAACCCTGGCTAGCCCAGGAGCAGGCCTGCACGCCAACGTGTGGACGGCCCACCTGTTCCTCCCGTGCGGGGATCGAGCGTGTCGCCCTCCCCCCTCACCCTTCGCGTGCGTGGCTTGTCTCCGGGCGCCGCTGCGATTTTCCTGTGGTATGTGGACGCTCGTTCGTTGCCCGTTAACATCTTGGCACGGAGAGGACCCACGGAGCTTGGAGAGGGGAATTTTGGCATCAGGTCACCGCCGCTGCTGCTGCCGCTGCCTTCCGCGCTTGTCTGTGGTTCCTCCTCCTGGCGCCTCCGAGTCGTCCTCTCTCTCTCCCTCTCTCTCTGTGAGTCGTCCGCTCTCTCTCTGAGTCGTCCTCTCTCTCTCTCTCTCTGAGTCGTCCTCTCCGAGTAGTCCTCTCTCTCCGAGTCATCCTCGCGTCAGCGCGCTTGTGTGTGTGTGTCACCACTGCCGCTCACGGCCAACACCCAGTGACGATTATCTGAACCGGTCCTGGGCCTCCCCTAGGTCGACTCAGCCTCAAATGAGTACTGGTGCGGTGTGTAAACTTCGCCACTGGGGAGACAAATGCGTTCGGGCGTGGTGTTGGCCACCCACCCCCTCATGTGCCGTGCCGGCCTTTATAGGTGCTCGCTAACAGCACTTGCCCCTACAGTCTGTTAAGGCTATACGGGGGATCTTTGTCACCACTGCTCGGGCACGAGACGCGCCGCGGGCAGCCATGGCGGACGATGGCGGCCCCCGGGAGGGCGGCGGTCCCTCGCCACACCGCCGCCGTTGCCGCGTCTTGTCGTGAGAAGCCACCGTGCTCTGCTCGCCGCTCGGTCGGCGAGCAGAGCTCGACCGGTCACAGTCGGCGCTTGGTGAAAAACCTTGGCAACGTACACGTGGCCATCGTCGTTCGCTCGTCGTGGAGGTGGGGGAGGTGGTGGAGGTGGAGGTGGTGGTGGTGGAGGTGGGGGAGGTGGTGGTGGTGGAGGTGGTGTTGGTGGAGGTGGAGGTGGAGATGGTGGTGGTGTGGTGATGGTGTGGTTGGGTGGTGGTGGTGTGGTGATGGTGTGATGGTGTGGTTGGGTTGTGGTTTTGAAGGTGACGCCATGGTGGTAGTGGTAGTGGAGGTGGTGTGGTGGTGGTGTGGTGGTGGACGTGTGGTGGTGGGGTGATGGTGGTAGGGTGATGGTGGTGGGGTGGTGGTGGTGGAAGTGATGGTGGGGTGGAGTGGTGGTGGACGTGCGGTGGTGGGGTGGTGGTGGTGGAGTACGTGGTGGAGGTGGTGAGGCACTTGAGGACAGCAAATGTTATCCCAGAGCATCAATGACAAATCATAAACGGTCGGCGCGAGAATCCATCTGTCAATGGGACGTGGGGAAATACAAATTAACAACAAACTTTTTCACCCCTTGTGTTTATGCCCCCCCCTCCCCCCATATACACCACCCCCCCCCCCCCCCCTGCCCACCACCCCCACCACTCCACTCTGTCCTTGCACTTCAAGAACGGAGACGCGGGGCGGCCGCTGTACCAGAGGCAGGCGAGCTCCACCGCACAGCTTCACAGCAGCCACGCGGCTCAGCTGACCGGTGAGGGAGCTTGCTCGTCTGTCTGTGCGTGTGTCTGTGCGTGTGTCTGTGCGTGTGTCTGTGCGTGTGTCTGTGCGTGTGTCTGTGCGTGTGTCTGTGCGTGTGTCTGTGCGTGTGTCTGTGCGTGTGTCTGTGCGTGTGTCTGTGCTTGTGTCTGTGCGTGTGTCTGTGCGTGTGTCTGTGCGTGTGTCTGTGCTTGTGTCTGTGCGTGTGTCTGTGCGTGTGTCTGTGCGTGTGTCTGTGCGTGTGTCTGTGCGTGTGTCTGTGCGTGTGTCTGTGCGTGTGTCTGTGCTTGTGTCTGTGCGTGTGTCTGTGCGTGTGTCTGTGCGTGTGTCCGTGCGTGTGTCCGTGCGTGTGTCTGTCCGTGTGTGTGTCTATCCGTGTGTCTGTGCGTGTGTCTGTCCGTGTGTGTGTCTATCCGTGTGTCTGTGCATGTGTCCGTGTGTCCGTGGGTGTGTCTGTGTCCGTGCATGTGTCCGTGTGTGTGTCTGTGCATGTGTCCGTGTCCATGTGTGTGTGCGCACAACGAACCCGGCGACCCGGGGGTCAATTCCCGTCCCCACGGTCCTGGGCCTTCCCTAGGTCGTACCTGCTCCACCATCGTCATCACCATCGTAGGCTTATCCCTCGCAATCGATGGTGATTGGCCTCCATAGAAAGGTCGGCTTTGTCTGCGGTGTCCGAAGGTGGCTGAAGAGACCGGCCGGGGTTGGGCAGACTCTCACGTGTCCCAGAGAGAGGGGTGGGTGGAACTGGTTTAGTAAGTCGGGCCGCAGCGTCGGTGGAGATGCCGGGGGGAGTATCTGGGTACGGCGGTGTGTAGTAAACATCGCCGCGAGGGAGACAAAGACGGCCGGGCGTGGTGCTGGCCACCCTCCCCCCTCGTGTGCCACGGTGCCGGCCTTCATAGGCGCTCGCTAATAGCACTTGCCCCAACAGCCTGTTAAAGGCTATGATGATGACGATGGTGATTACGATGATGATAATGATGATGCCGACGATGATGATGATTACGAGGATGATTACGATAATGATGGTGATTACGATGATGATTACGATGATGATGATGATGATTTCAATGATGATTACAATGATGATTACGATGATGATGATGATTACGATGATGACCACGATGATTATGATGATGATTACGATGATGATAATTACGATGATGAGTACGATGATGATCACGATGATTACGATGATGATTACGATGATAATGATGATTATGATGATGATGATTACGATGATGACCACGATGATTATGATGATTACGATGATTATGATGATTACGATGATTATGATGATGATTATGATGATGATAATGAAGATGATGATTACGATGATGACCATGATGATGATGATTACGATGATGACCACGATGATGACGATTACGATGATGATTACGATGAAGATGATGATGATTACGATGATGATGCGCGGACGTATGTCCCGCACCCGTCGCATCGCCGCACTCAACCCTTCTCACCCCGCCGTCTCGCGCAGAACCCACGGCCACCAAATCCGCCCCGTCCGACGTCCAGCCTCACGGCAAACCCGCCGTCGGCACCGGCGCGGCGCCGGCCACCGTCGGCGTCGGAGCGAGCGGCAGCAGCGGCGGCGGCAACACGAGGGCGGTGAAGTCGTACGCCTGCGCCGTGCGGTCCACGCCACCGCCTCCGCACAAGCCCACGCCGCCCGACGGCGCGGACCGCCGGGGCGGCGCGACGGGGCCGGCGGTAACCGGTGCCGGCGGCGGCGGCGCTGGCGGTGGCCTGCCCTTCCTGCAGGGCCTGAGTCCCGACTCCGCCCCGCACGCCAACAACGGCTACTACTCCTACTTCAAGTGAACGGCCACCGGGAAGCCGCGGGGTTGGGGGGGGGGCGGTGTCGGTGTGGCCGGCGGCGGCGGCTCGGGTCCACGGACTTGTCGACAAGCGGCCAGCTGGAAGTTTGGTTCGGTCGAGTTCGGATTTTACGGTTTGTCCGCTGTCGATTTACCTCGGCGGTCTGTATTTTATCTGACTCGTGAAATCTGCCGACTGTGTTGTTAATAGTTTTTTTTTACGTCTAAATACGTTCCCCCCCCTCACCTCCTCCTCCCCTTGATCCCCCCACAACCCCTCCCCTCGGTCCCCATCACAGCCCCTCCCCTCGACCATCGCCTCGGTCCCCATAGCCACCCCCCGTGTGACCTACACGAGGGAGTCGTCCGGAGCGTTGTGCTCCGTGTCGATCGGTGGGGGGGGGGTGGGAGGGGGGGGGGAGTGGTGGGGTGGGGGGCTTTGACCGGAATCTCTCATGAGGTCACCGATCGGACTCAAGACGCCGCTGCCGACGGAGATCGGCGGCCGCGGTGGTGCGGTAACGCCGGCGGAGGCCTAGAGAGAAACCAAGAGTGTTGGCGACAGCGGCGAGCGGCGAGTAGATTTTGTCTTGGTTCTTTTTTACCTGCTCGCACGTTCGTTGCGGCCTGTGTATATATGTATAATGTACGTATGTATACCTGTATATGCGTGGGCGCGCGTCAAGTTTGCGCGCGAAGGCATCGACGGAGCGGGAGGCCCCCGTCGATGGTTGAGCTCGGAGCGCTCGGGTCGTGCCTCGAGTTTGAGCGTCAAGGGCACGGGAGTCGCGTCGGGACGATTCCGTTGGACGCGCCGTGCCGTCTGTCGGGTGCCCCTTGCAGAGCCGCAAGGCGACGATCGCTCCGGGAAGAAGGTGCCGCCGCTGTGTGTGTGGCACAGACGGACAGAGTCTGCATTACGGGGGGGGGGGGGGGGCGATGCTGCGGTGTGGCTCTTACCCCGTCGGCAGATTTGCCGGTGTCGTTTTCGAACGATAAGTTCGGGGGAATGCGGCAGGTCGTTTGCGAGGAATCTCCACCGACTTTTCTGGCGGACGGCGTCGACCCCGTCGCGTCAGAATGCCGTCCCAGGGGAGGTTTAACTCGCAGCGGACGGCGCGGGTAGTAGCGGTCGTAGCGGTTGTAGCGGTAGTGCAACAACAACAACAACATTTCCATTGCATCGCCGCTAGAAAATAACCAGGGGGGCGGTGAGGCCCGCTGGGCTCGAACCGCTAAGACGGCGCCGCCGCGCTGTTCGCCGGCGTTTGATGTCCACCGTGGAAATTACCGCGACGCGCGCGAACCGCACCGGGTGATTTCCGCGCAATGCGGCGGTCGATCCCCGACAAAGCAAAGTCACAAACCCCCCGCCTCCCCCCCCGCCCCCCATCTCTCTCTCTCTCAATATTCCTCACCATGGAGACAGCTGTAGACATTTTTTATTATCAATTCCCCCCCCCCCCCACTTTGGAGGGGAGGGCTAAGAATTATGATTTGCCCCCTCCCCCCCCACCCTCCATTAGCCCGGCCGAGCTGATTTGCCGCTAATGCCCCAGCAGGAGTGACGGGGGGGGGGGGGGCCCCCTTGGTCATCGCCGTCGCGAGTCAACCCACGCTGGGGGGGCAGCGTCGAGTAAATATCCCCGTCGTCCCCGCGGACGCCCCGTGCGATTGCCCGCTGGCGCGACGATTTCCCGGAGTAACGGCGCTCCCTCCGTCGCGTCTCTGAACTCTGTAGCGGCAGCCCTCGAATGGGGGGGGGGGGGGGGCGTTGATCCGGAATGTCCCGGGGGAAGGGTTTTTGTTGGCAGTCCTCCCCCCCCCCCCCCCCCGCGCTTGACCCCCGCAGTCGCGCGCACGCAACCTTGCCGCCTGTTCGTCGGACCTCGCTGCGGCGGGCCCATTCGTACTTTTGTGCGCGGGCGGAGAGGTGGCGGCGGGGAGGGGCGGGGGGGCGGGGAGGGCGGCGTGGGATTTGAGAAGCTTCCCGTCGCCTCGGCGTTGCCCGCGGCCGTCGCCACGCCGCCGTTGTTTTGGCGGTTGCCGGATTTGGGTGCCGCGGCACGAGCCGCCCACCGTCGGCTCCGGCGCTTTGCCGTTTATGCCGCCCTCTTGCGGTGCCGGGGTCTCTCACCCCCTCCCCCCCCCCCCCGGGGTCTCACCTCGCCCCCCCCCGCCCGTGCGCTCGCGGGCGATGTTAAAATCGGCGAAACCGTCAACCGCCGGAGTACGTTGGTGCCGCGGCGTTGGAGAAATGTTACGGGGCGGGGGGGGGGGTCGCTGCCGGGAGGTTCGGCCGTTGTTTTACCGGCGGGCGGATGGGGGGCAGGACGGGGGGCAGGACGGGGGGCGGGGTGGGGGGCAAGGGGGGGGGTTACTTGTTGTGTGTGGGTTTGTGTTTCATTTAAAATGGAGCGAACCAAAAAAAGAGAAAAGCCGTAAAAAAAAATATTCAACGACAGTAAAAAATAATAAAAAAAACCCCAAAAAAATCTATAAAATTTCTATTAAAAAACCTGCAAAAAAAGTTTGTTTTTAGTTTATATAAAAGTGGGATGATGTATAGTGGTTTTTAACAAAACATAAAAATTTGAGCGTTGCGTTAAGATGATGTCGTCGTGGATACATAAACTATTTTTAAAAGTACAAAAAAATTTGAAAAAAGTATATAACGAAGAGAGAAAAATACGTAAAAAAAATGTTTATATTACAAACTTCTAAAAAAAAATGTGTGCAAACCATAGCGGCAGTGGCGTCCCACAAAGGGCGCCAACATCACATCATCCGACTGTCTTGGTGGGGGGGTGTGGGGTACTGTCTTCCGGGGCAGTTGCGTCAAAAGGTGAAGATTCATGAACGTCTACAGGAACCCCGCTCGCTCGCTCGCTCTGCGTGGCGCCTTGTGGTTGCGCCGGCGATGCGTCGACGGGCCGCGGCGTCCGACGTTTCGCTCCGCGTTCCGGGGAGCTATTTCAGGAAGCGACCCTCCCACCGTTGCGGAGGGAAGCGAATCTTTTCGTCGGCACGGCGGAGGCCCAAGCGATCGAAACGCCCGCGGGCTCCCCCACCACCCCCCCCGGGCAGAGAGTTGTTGAGCGGCGGGGGGGCGCATCCTCGAAATTCTACGCCGTCGCGTCCCGTAAAAAATGACATCTAAATTAGTTCCGGGAGCCCGGATACGCGACACGCGACACGCGGTGTCGCGCGTGCGACGTCGTCGTCGTCGCCACCGGTTGGCAAACCGCTCGTGCCGCCGCACGCGCGACACGCGGTGTCGCGCGTGCGACGTCGTCGTCGTCGCCACCGGTTGGCAAACCGCTCGTGCCGCCGCACGCCCGGTGCCGGTGAAGCCGCACCCGGCGGTGCCGGGGAGAGACCGGCCGGTCGCGGGGGGCAGTGGGCGGGGGAGGGGGGGGGGGGGGCGGTGCGGTGCCTCGAGATGGGTGAGCGGCGGGGGGTCGCGGGGGGATTGTGGATCGCCTTCCAGTCTCGGCACGATTCTCGTTTCGAGGTTTTATTTTCTTCGTTTGGGAGCGTTCGCCGCCGTCGTCGACGTCACGTGTACGCCCCCCCCACACCCCCTCCCCCCCCCCACCGAGTGTCGCGAGTGTTTTGAAAATGGAAGAGATCTCGCATTCCCCCGCGCGAGTGAGCGAGTGAGCGAGCGAGCGAGTGAGTTGCGCGTTCCTTATTCCGTTTCCGCCCGAACGCGTCACTCGTTCCCGTAGTCGGTGGGGGGGGTCCCTAAGGGGGGGGGGGTCTCTCCGTCTCTCGCACGTAAAGCGGCAGCAGCCGTTTCCTCAAAACCACCGCACGCACAATTTGACGCCGCCTCGGTTTTTTTGGGGTCGGCAAATTGTCGTTCACGCCACCCGGCACCGATCGTCAACAACAACGACGATGATTACTACGGAGAGTTGGGAAGAGACGAAAGGAAGCAAGTGCTGTCAGTTGCCCGCCTGCTCTCGCGTCTCGACCAATCGGCTCGTTCACCTTTGCCGAAGCCTCTCGGCACTCCATCGGTTCTGAAGCGCTCAAGAAACAAAAATTCATGATGTCAATAAACAACGTCGGGTTTGACGCGACGAAGGAAGTTGTCGCTTGTCTTGCCCGTGCTTTATTTTCGTTTCGATGATATACCTTGAAAAAAATAAAATCTGGCAGGAAAGGGCATCTGGCACCGTCCCTCAGGGGCTGTGCGGGCACCCCAGGCGAAGAATGACCACTCCGACTCTCGGGGGAGGCTTCGTGAGAGCCGCCAAACCTCCATCGTGGGGGAGGAGGTCACCAGTAACCCACTCATTGCACCCGCCAAAGAGACGGAGAATCCCCCGTGTAGCCTTGACCGACTGTTGGGGCGAGCGCTGTCCGTGAGTGGCACCCGTTAGGGCCGGCACGGTGGCGCCACGAGGGGGGTGGGTGGCCAGCGCCGCGCCCCGCCGCCTTTGTCTTTCCCCGGCAGCGATGATTTTTAACACGTCGCACCGGGTCACTCGTTTGTGGCTGCGTAGACCTAGGGGAGGCCCAGGTCCCTGTTCGGATGATCCCTCACCGGTGCCGGTGGCAGCCGCGAGCGGGAAATGGAACATCGGCTCGCCGGGTTCGCAGCACCGCTTGCAGCGCCGCCGCCACACGCGACCCCGCCGATCGTCGGCTGACCGCGGTTTTCGACGCGTTCCTCACCGCCGAGTGGACCGAGGCGGCGGGGCCGACACGGGGCGATCTTTGAGGGATTTTGGGAAGCCGGCAAAGTCGATTACAACCGGCGGCGTTGATTACAGGCGGTGTCCGTGCGGGGAGACGGAGTCCAACCTGGACCCCCCCCCCCACCTTGAGGAGTCGCTAGTCTCCGCTGGGTTTTCCGCGCTGCTGACGCGCTACGACCCCAGCGGCGACGGTTATGCCCCGAGCTCACGTCTAAATTACACAGAAACGCAAATTGACACACGCGCGCGCACACACACATATATATATTATCCAGAGTTTTAGTTTTTTTTAAAATCTGATCTTCTTTTCTGATCTTCTCTCGTGTCGCTGCGCGGTGTTTTAGCAAGAGAACCTTCACTTTAAGGACGGGCCGTTCTTTCTTTCGTGAGAAAACATCGATTTGTTATTAGTTTTTACGTCTTTGAGCAAAGGCAGGAGAATGGATGTTAGTGAGAGAACCCCTAAAAGCTGGGAAACACATTCGAACGATAGAGCCAAGAAAGCAAGTTAAAAACAAACCAGAACAATTTAAATACGAAAAATGAATAAAAAATAAAAAATAGCAAAAATATAAAATAAAAATTGTAAAAAAAAACAAACAAACAAAAAAATTTCAAACTGAAAAGTTAAAAAAAAAGTTTAAATACAAAAACACGTGAACATCCACCACCACCACCACCACGCTGTTAAACACTTGACAG